GAGAGAGAGAGAGAGAGAGAGCGCGAAAGAATCTGAAGCAGGCTCCAGGCTCCGAGCTGTCAGTGCAGAATCCAATGTGGGGCTTGAACTCATGAACCATGAGATCGTGACCTGAGCCAAACTTGGACACTTAACCGACTGAGCCACCCAGGTGCCCCAGGAGAGGTGGTTCTGATCCCTGCCTTGCTATGTTTCCCTGGGCCAGCCCCTTTCCCTCTCTGTGCCTCAGACCCCACTCCTCTGCCCAATCTGTAGGTAGACTGATTCCTCTAGTTTCTGCTAGCCCTGCACAGACAGAGGTATTCTTCTAAAGAAAGGATGAAAAAAAAAATTCATCTCAGAATGCAGATGTACTGCAAGGATTCCACTGAAAGGCAGAAATACAATGGATTCAAGAGACCCAGGGTCTGTCCCCAGATCCCTGCCAGGCTGTTCAGGCCAGGCGGAGCAGTTGCATGGCCCCAGAGGCAGCCAGAGGGCCCGTGGGAGGATTTACATAATTCAGCGCTGGTCACTGGGAAGAAACGTCCCTGGGAGCAGGTGAGTCCCGGCCCTGGAGGTGTGGGAGCCATGTTCCCATACAGTTCATTGTCCCCACTGAGATCAACCCTGAGTCGGGTCCTATGCTGAATATGACAGCATCCCTACCCTGGAGGAACATCAGGCCAGTAGAGGGACAGGGAGGAAGGCAAACCATGTTCCTGCCTTCTTATCCCAGTTTTGTTACCAGCTGTGAGATCTCAGCCTGCTACATAAGTTCCCTGCGAGGGCACGGAACACCTGTTTCCTTAGCTTGTTCGAACTAAGGCTGAAACCATAAAAACAGCAGTAGTTGCTGCGTACTGCACCTTCTGTGCCAGGGTCTCTTTCCATATGCTTCACACATTGTAGCTTGTCACTCCTCCTCAGAGCCTTTTTGTTTTCTTCTTCCCATTAAGAAAACAGAGGCTCAGAGGTTAAGTAACACCCCTAAGGTCGTACAGATAGAGAGAGGCAGAGCCGGGATTCAGACCCCCATGTGGAGCCTCCCTTCCAGAGTGTCTAAGTGCCTCTTACTCTTAGGAGACTGATTTGGGTCTCTTACCCAGTAGATGCTCTTTTCATCACTCCAAACAGAACATACCTCATTAATCTTGTCTCAGAGTAATCATTTGCTTTTAGGATTCATTAGCAACAGCTCCCTGGTGCTTCCAGAGGGGCCTGGTTGGGGGGAGCAGGACAGGCCAGTAAAGGGACTGAGAAATGGCTAAAGGGGTGACTGTAACTGCCATCGGTGATGGGGGAAAACTTCCTGGAGGTGGTGGCAGTGGAACTGGACTTTGGGGGAAGAGGAATATGACAGGGGAACAGGCAGTCCCTTGGTGGATGGGTCCTGTCACCCTTGTTGGACCTGAGCTCCTGAACTTGCAGGCAGGGCCAGGCGTCACCTGCCTCCACCTGGTGCTCAGCAGATGCCTGGGGAATGACTAAGCGTTTCTCTCCTGTCCTCTCTTGGTAGGCGAGGCACTACGTGGCCTGGTGGGGTGGTGGGAGGTCATGGGGTCCTGCTTTCAGACAGAGCACATCCTGGGCACCGCAGTGCCACTTGACTGTATCCTGAAAAAACCTGTGCCCACCAGGCCCCTCACGTTCTTTTCCTTGCCCCGCAGCCAAGAAGACCTGTGCGGACAGCGACTTCACCTGTGGCAACGGCCACTGCATCCCGGAGAGGTGGAAGTGTGATGGCGAAGAGGAGTGTCCCGACGGCTCCGATGAGGCAGAGACCACGTGCAGTGAGTCCTGGCCCTAGGGCTGAGGGAGGGGGCTGCATGTGGGGAGGGTTGGGGTTGGTGAGGGGGGTGGGGCTCGGCTTCCTCATCAGAGCTTCCTTGCCGGGAGGTTGGGAGGTTCAAGTGAGGCAATCTGTCAGACACAACTCCACACCGACCTTCTGCCACACCCTTGGGGGGCCCCTGGCAAAGAGCCAGGTGTATCCAGTGCTAGTTTCTGGTAACTTCTTCACAGGCCTCTTGCAGGTTGAGCCCTGCTCCTGGAGCATCAGGAGCTAGAAGCAGCCCTTCTGCCCAGAAGCACCCAGAGCATATCCTCTGGGGCTCTCTGCCACACACACACACACACACACACACACACACACACACACACACACACAATTTTTCTGGAGGGTTCTGATCATAATTCTAGCAGTACTGGTAACAGCAGGAGCCTATTACATGTTTACTGTGTGCTAGGCGCTTTGTGTGCTAGGCGCTTAGTGTGCATTAATTCATCTTCTCCTCGCAGCAGCCTTTGCAAAAGAGGACACTGAGGCTCAGAGAGGTTGAGAGACTTGTGCAAGACTACCCAGCCAGGACTTTGAGGCCCCTGCTCTTTCTTCTGCCCTGAGCTGGCTGAACCCAGGAGCCCTGGCCTCCATGGCAGGCTGGGTGGCAGCAGGGGCAACCAGGGGTGAGGCAGAGGGCCAGAGCCAAGCGCCAGGCCCGCCTCCCACACTCAGGGCTTTGTCTCTCCGTGATTTCTTTTCCAGGCCCTAATCCTCAAAGCAAACTCACACCCGGCAGGTCATTCCGTGACATTTGTTAAATTAAAAAGGAGATGAGAAGGGGGCGGGGAAGGACCCAGGGGTCCTGAGGCAGAGCCTCAGCAGAGTAAAACTGAGACAAAAGGTTGGGAGGGGGGAGCACGTGGAGGAGGGTAGGGCTGGTGAACACCCAAGTCACACTCCTCAGGGGTCACATCTGCCCCAGATGCAGAGGTGGGGACAGTGGAGGCCTGCGTCCTGTCCCTGTCTAGGGCTGTGGCTGGTGATAACTGAGTTTCCTCGTCTCTTAGCAACAGAGCTAGCGGTCTCCTCGTGAGAGAGAGAGAAAGGGAGAGAGAAAGGGAGAGCAAGAGCAACCCTGGCCCAAGATAGGAGGCTCCCTCATTTCCTTGCGCGGCTGCCTCTGCCTTCCCTGGCCAGGCCATCCGCCCTATCCTTTTCGTACTCCCCACGCGGCCAGCCTGTCCTGGAGCTTGTCCTGAGCTTCCTCCTGAGCTGCAGAAGGAACAAAGCCTAGCCACGCCCACTGTGACTCTCATCTTCAGCGCAGTTTCGGATCCCCGTTTAGGGAGAAGGAAACTGAGGCCAGGATGGGTTTGGCCACTTGCCGGAGGCTGCCTGGCTAACAAGGGGCAGAGTTGCATATGGCTGGGAGTGTGTGTGGGGGGAAGGGGCTGTGGCCACAGGGGGCTTTGCAGGGGGACTGTAGTCAGCCAGTTGGGCCATCCCAACCCACTCCAGCAGTCACCATGGACGAAGGAGGCAGCAGGGGGATGGGGGGAGCTTCATCACCATTATTATTGGGGTCTGTCCTGCTGCCTGAGACCTAGGCTCCCCCTTCTCCCTGTGTCTCTGCCTCCTTGTGTGAGTGTACATTTTCATCTTCCCTTACCCTATCTCTGGAGTCCTCTCCACCCTGCTCTCTTGGACCGCCTCCCCCCTCTGCCTGCCCCTCTCCTCATCCTCCCTCTCGCCCTCCCTCTCCTCCCTGCCCTGCCCCACGTTTCCCTCTGGCTTTCTCCCTCTAGCAGTTGCTGCCTTCCTATCTATCCCTTGGCAGGGGCTCTCCAGCCTCCCCCCTCCTGCCTCCCAGGTCTACTTTGTGCCCACAGTTGAATAACTAGAGGCCCAGAGAAGTTGGGGGCTTTGCTTCCAGGACGCACAGGTTGCTTGTGGCTGGTCGGCCTTCTGTGATAGAAGACGAGTGGGCTCGTCAGGCTCTCAGGCTTGACGGAGTGCCCGTGGGAGCAGGACTCAAGGCTGCACCCTGGGAGTTGGGAGGCCCAGCTCTCCTCTGGACTCTCCCAGTGAATTTGCTGTGAGATCCTGCACACTTTCCCATCCCTCTTCGGGCCTCAATTTCTAACGTCTCATAATTCCAAAGACCATGATCTAAGATTCCTGGACTCCTAGCACCTTCCTTGTCCCAGCCGGGGCACAAGGCCCAGGATCCCACTTCTTGTGCCAAGTTACATTGGTCAGGGGCAGGCAAGGCCTGTGGGTAAGGAGGGCTGCCTGGAGGAGGTGGGCCAGAGTGGGACTTCAAGGGACAGGCAGAATTGGGGGCAGCAGCACCTGGTAGCAGGCTTGCTCACTGCCTCCCCACCAAATGGGGAACTTGGTAGCTGACCCACTGCTCATTTAACTGGTGTTGCCATAGCAACCTCCACAGCCTACCAGGTTCGCCTCTATAGCCTACCAGGTTCCTAAGGACTATGCCAGCTCAAAGAAAGATTCCAGGCAATAGTAAAGTATAGTGGGTTTGGTTGTGTGATATATTTGGGTCCAGGTCCTGTGAGACCTCAGGCAGGTTGTCCAGTCTCCCTATGGCTCAGTTTACTCGTCTGGAAAATGGAGTGATGGCACCTGCCTTATGGGGTTACATGGATGAAATGAAAAAAATGTGGCAAAGCATCAGTGCTGGAGTAAACGGCAGTGCTACTTTTATTACTGCATCTTGATCCCAGTCTCTCTCTCCCACATACACCAGTTTCACATTTTAGAATAAGTAGGAGGTTTGCATAGAGAGGGAAAGGCATTTGGGAGCAGGTCCCCATGTTCTTGTGTTCCCCCACTATGTCATCTGCCCTTAGCTGGCTGGGATTTCTCCTGGCTCTCCTTCCTTCTGGTTCTGGGTTTTGTGTCTATCAGATACGGCCAAGAGTCACAGTAGGAAAGCCTGGGACATTTGCCTAATGAAAGTAGCATTTTAGCTCTAATTATAGCTCACTTGATTGGAGACAGCTTCTCACCCACCTCCAGGCACATGATGGGAGGGGTACAGGGTAGGGGTGGGGAGGTTGGTCCAAGGTGAGTGAGTTGCAACTTTGGGTACTGATTACTGAAAATGGGATTTTGTTCATCGTCTTAGAACCTTTCCACTGGAAGGGGGACCTTACTGATGAACCAAGTATACTTTCCTACCATAGATCAGTAAGTGGAGGCCTGGAGGTTTTTGGAGATCACCTAGCAAGTTAGAGGCTGACCAGCTAGAAGGACTTCACCTGAGCCCATGGGAAGGACCATGGGCGTGACCTCTCCTGCATGACGGGATGGCCCCATGCTTTGCTTCCTGCCAGCAGCAGGACACTGGTAGCCCCCACCCCCGTAGTCCCTGGCCCTCCTAAAGCTGCCCATCCCCATCTGGAGGTCGTCTGCCCCTAAGCCTCACATGACCTGACACCACAGACGTCTCGCTCACTAAGCGGCCATCAAACACCTTCATTCTTTTATTTCGACAGACATTTCTCTTTTTATTAATTTGTGAAGTCATAAATTAAAATGGATTGGATTTCTGGGGCAGGATTCTCTGGGAATTGATAATGCCTACAGCCACTCCAGCATGCAATTTCACGCCCTTGCCGGCTTTGGAGGATTCCTGGTATCTGAGAGATGGGGGGGGTTCTTCCTCCTGCCTCTCAGAACCTCTGGGACGCTTGACAGCAAGCCAAGGCATTCCTCGGGGCATCTTTCTCAGAGAGAGGCGTTTGGGTAGAGCGCGTCATCGTGGTGGGCCGTGTGGACTCTGATGACGTGTACCCCCAGGAACGAGACCGGGGCCCTCCCAGCACTGTGCGTTTGCCTTTCATTAAACAGGGGCAACTGGTTTCTGAGTTTGTTCCAGGCTCTGAGTGTAGAGATTTCCATGTTTCCTCATTTAAACCATCTACCAACTCTAGGGGATTACGTTACCCTATTTTCAGGTCGAACCTTGGTACAGAGAGGTTAAGTGACTTGCTGACCTGCTTCATGTTAATAGATGGTTTTGGACCTAGGTGTGCACGACTCCAAAACACATTCATGCTCCTTGTCCTGCACTGTGCTGCCTGGGGCGGGGTGGGGGGGGGATCTCTGGCTTCAGTTATCCCGAAAGTGGACAATAGGTGGCCATGTTGCGGTCCCCACCTGAGGAAAGGCCCAGGGAGCCTCCTTCCTCTGGTGATCCCTCTCCAGCCCAGAGGTGCTGGTGGGGACCAATGGGGCCTGCTTTTCTCACGGGCAGTGGTTAAGTGCAGTAAGTTAAGCAGTGTGTCTGGAGGTAAGAGACCTGGGCTCAAAGTCCATCTCTGCCTCTGTCCACAAGACTCTGAGCCAACGACGTACCCTCTCTGGGCTCTGCTCTCCTCGTCTGTAGAATGGAGGTGGTAAGAGCACTCGCCTCATAAGGGGATATTGTACGCCAGCCCGGACCAGCCTCCCGGGGCTAGGCAGTGAGGAGGCCTGACCCAGGAGCCTGGAAAGTGAGGTTCGCCTGCTAGCTTCGGGGAAGAGCTGCATTACAACAGAGACGGTGAGGTTCTAGGAGAGAGAGGTGGTTGGAATACCTGATATTCAGTAGCCTAGGCAGGTCCCTCCCCTCGCTGGGGCTCTGACTGCTGTCACTATAGTGGGCGTTCCTCGACGTGACCTCTTGGGTCCTAGCATTCCAGGACGGTGTCTTGGCTCTTTGAGGGTACGAGGGCTGGTGTCAGGCACTGCTGAATCTTCCGGAGCCTATAATTAGAGCTGTCTATTTAAGGACACAGCAAATGTCTTATTAATTATAAAGAAAGGAAGCAGACGGATTGTTTAATCATTGTCCTTGCTGAAAGGTTATGCAATTAACTATATAAATATTCATTAAAAGTTCAAACGGCTGCGTGCTGCACTGGGGTATGCAGAACCAGGCCCTGAGAGGTAGGGAGGACGGTCAAGGGCCATTTCAGTCACCTGGGCTTTTGGGTGTAGAGTTTGGGGCCAGTTCAGTCTACCTCTCCATCCACGGGGGCGTGCAGGCTTTGATGGAAAGGGCAGGCTTCAGTCAGAAGCCTCTCTGCCTCTGCCTCTGCCTCTCACCTGCTGTGCATCTTTGTGCCAGTTCTTTGGTCTCTCTGAGCCCGTTTCCTCATCTGCAGAATGGAGTGCTTACCTGAAGGCCTGCTGCCCTGCTCTACCCCAGGGGTGCTGCTATGAAGATCTTTGTGAATGGCGCCCTTGGAGCTGACACCTCTATCCTGCTCATCTGGGAGGGTGAGGGTGAAATGAGAAAATGAAGTAGCCTGGCACACCGTGGGTGCTCAGTAAATACGGCTTCCTTCCAGCTCCCCGTGAAGTTCTGTTTCCTGAGGCCTGGCTCAGGGGTAAACGGTCACCTTGTGCCTCTGTCTCATTGCTCTCTCGGGAGCTTGCACGCATACAGAATGCTTCTATCGCTTTTATAGGAATGCATTTAAAACGGATAACATATCCTATATCTTTTAGACTTGCAGAATGTTAACCCAGTGGTTCTCAAATGGGGTGCATGGGAATCACCAGGGGTTGAAGAGCGTTACTGAAATGCAGATTCCTGGGCTCTGCTGCCCTCAAAGTCTGGACTCAGCCTAAGTTGAGCCAGGCCCAGGAGCCTGCTTTTCCCACAGTCCCCACACCCCACCCTACAGTCAGGAATCTGGGAAACACTGGTTGGCTTCGGCTCCCTCTTGTGCGTACTGGGGTCCTACAGTGCAGGGGTAATAGAGGTGCTCCGGAAGGGCCCCACCTCCCAGCTGCCAGACCTCCTTCACCACCCGACACCCTGCCCCAAGGCAGCCTTTGCAGAATGTCTTTTTTTAATGTTTATTTATTTCTGAGAGAGAGAGAGAGACAGAGACAGAGAAGGAGTGGCAGAGGGGCAGAGAGAGAGGGAGACACAGAATCCGAAGCAGGCTCCAGGCTCTGAGCTGTCAGAGCCCAACACAGGAACCCATGGGCCGCGAGATCATGACTTGAGCTGAAGTTGGGCGCTTAACTGACTGAGCCAGCCAGGCGCCCCGCAAGGCAGTCTTTGTAGAAGATCTGAGTGTCAGCGCTCTCTAGGGCTCTATGCAACAGTTATTTGGGAAGTGGAATTTCCATAAAATGAATCCTGTGAATCCTGTGTTCCCAGCAGGGTGCCTCGTATTTCATGACATCTATTCCTATGGATAACTCTGGGGTCCAAGGTACTCCTGTCCCTTGGTATAGTAGTGTCTGGGGGCCCTTCCTCAAACAGCTGCCCCCTCTCCCATCTTACCTGCCCTTTTCTCCATCTCTTGTGCCACTTCCTCCCTGCTATGGAAGCAGAGAAAGGGGACCTGGTCGGGGATGAGAGAGCGAAGTTGAAGGGGGAGGCAAGAGTGACCTCTGCCTGCAGGTGCAGTGGACTCTGCCAAGTGCCCGGCATCGGACACAGCTGACTTTGAGTCCCCGCTCAGTTCTTACCAGCTGGGTGACTAGCACCCAGGGCTTACCACCATGTCTGGTACACAGCAGTACCCAATAGATACTCGCTGAGTGAAGAGACAAGTGCTCCTCTGTTCATCTGGAGGAGAGTGCATAATCATAAGTGAGCACTGGGCCGAGTGTGCTTCTAAGTGCCCTACAGACATTAACTTGGGAGTCATAACAATCCTATGGGCCAGGGAATAGTATCCTCCCCAATCTATCGGCACCGAGGTGAGGACTGTTGACCAAGGTCACATAGCCAGTGAGTGACTGAATCCATGCCCAGCAAGCCAGGTTCCGGAGCCCATGCACTCGACCTCCGAGCTGGAGGCCTTGATATAATCCTTGCCCTGCTGGGTTTTTGTGAAGATGAAATGAGTGCCTAGCTCGGTGCCTGGCACGTCCTAGAGACGACTGAGTTTACACCCTGGAAGGTAGTAGGGAGCCAGCCACGGAGGTCCGAAATGCATCTACCACAGCTGGGTCTGTCACGTGGCTCATCCTGGGACGCTCAGGATGAGCGCCGTCCCCAGCCCTGATCAGGGTTCTCATTCTTTCTTCCAAATTGAGAATCAACCCTGGGGCTTCAGGCCCCTGATTGAGTCAGCCTCTGATTGCGGCTGCAGTAATTATAGCTGTGTGGTCCCGCTGGGCCCTGCCGCACAGCACTGCTCGCAACAGCAGGCTTGGCACCACTGCTGGGGGAGCAGCCAGGAGGGGGTGGGCTGCACCGAGGGAGCTCTTGGGGCTTTGGTGAGCCCTCCAAATCCACAGGTTCAGATCGCCGAGTCACTGATCTGAAAGCTAAACCGAGGCTAAATTGGAGTATATTTCACCCCAGGGCACACAGAGGGGAGATGACAGAGAAGCGTGCAGCTTTGCGTTGCTGGAGCTGAAAGGGGAGGTTTGGAGGGAGGGGGGTGGGGCTGGTGAGGCAGTCAGGGAGGCTTGAGTGCCAGGGGCCAGGGACCCGCGAAAGGGCGTTAGACAGGGAGTGGGGGGATCGGATGTAGGATTCGGAGGGTCTCAGGGGCAGACAGTGGCTGCTTCTCAGATGAAGAAACCGGGACCTTGGGCAGGAGGGCCCTGATGGATTCCCAGGGGCTCAGGCCAGGTGGCCGGAGTCGGGCAGTAGGACTGGTTGGCGCCATGCCCTGGGTCCCCCTTGCCTAAGCCATGCCCTTGTGTCTGTCTCCACAGCCAAACAGGTGTGTCCCGCAGAGAAGCTGAGCTGTGGACCTGCCAGCCACAAGTGTGTGCCCGCCTCGTGGCGCTGCGACGGGGAGAAGGACTGTGAGAGCGGAGCAGACGAGGCCGGCTGTGCCACCTGTGAGTTGGGTTAGGTCGCGGGGTCTACAAGGGGGTCAGGCAGCACTGGGGAGCAGCAGCCACTTCTGGGAGGGGCCTTCTCTCTGGGGCTCGGTGGGTGGAGAGCAAAGGGTAACGATCAGGACACTAGTAATGGCCAGGCGCTCTGGAGAGACATTTCCTGCTTTCATCCTCACAACCACCTCACGAGCAGCCATGATCATTCCCATTTTACGGGTGAGGAAACTGAGGCTCAGACAAGTGAGGAAAAAGCACCCGAGGCTGAGTGATGGAACGGAGATTCAAATCCAGCTCTCGATAGCCAAGCCCAGGAGTACTTCTACCATATCTGACATCTGCTCATCCATTCCATCCGTCTCCACCAACCTCCGAGCGAGGGCAGGGGGCCAGAGCTGGGACGTGGCAAGTAATGGTGGCCGCCTGGGCCAGGGCACTGGTGGTGCCGGGGGGAGGGGCAGACTCCTGAAGTGTGAAGGACGTCTGATGCTGAAATCTCAGACTGGTGAGCTCGAATGTCACAGGGCAGGGAAGACATCCCCAGCAGCCTCGGCAGGGACAGATGGAAGTGGTCATTGGGGTAGTTCCACATCAGTGAGCTTCAAACACAGGATTATCTCCTTCCCAGGGAGCAGGCCAGCAGGTCCTGGGCCAGTGGGGCTATGCTTGTTTCCATTCGATGGACACCTCCTGTGTGCCAGGCCTGGAGCCAGGCTCTGAAAGGATGATGAGGTGAATCCTACGCGCTCCTCCCTCTGGGAGCTCATGATTAATAGGGGAGACAGACTGGCTGTTGATAACGAGGCTGCAAGGCTGGGCTGAGATAGGGGTGGTTTGCAGTATTATGGGGGCTTTTGCCAGGCACTTACCCACCACTGCCTCCTACCCCACTTCCTCCACCAGCCTCTATATTTACATCCTCTCCATCCTCCCTAGCCCAGAGGAAATGCCAGCTCTCTGGAGCCTTTTGAGTCACAGCATTCTAGATTCCAAGTCTGGAGTTCTGAGGTGTCTGAAGCAGGAAGCATCTGGGTGTGGGGGGGAGATCCTGGCTGGGGCCAGCAGTTTCAAAGCCCTGGTGATGGCATTGGCCTGTTTCTTCAGCTGTGATGATTTTGCGGAGCTTCGCTGGCCAATGAAAATCCACTTCCCTCCTTACCCACCCATAATCAGATGTTTCCCCAGCTCTAAGGGCCATCAGCCCCTATTGCACAGGGTGGGAGTATCTCTAACTAGGGCACGTCTTGGGAGGGAGATGGGGAGGTGAGGGGAGGCGTTAGAAGGTCTCACTGAGTGTCTCTGCTATAGCTCCCAACCACCTGGGCAGAGGAAGAATTCTCCTTCTCTCCTCCCTCAGAGCTGCTCCCATTTGTGAGTGCTGGGAGTGGGGTCTCTGGATGCAGATCTGAGAATATGGCTCTCGATATTGCTGTCAGCTTTGAACCTCAGGGAGAACTCAGTATAAAGAAGCACATCTTCCCAGAACGCTAAACTTAGTGAGTCCTTCCCCCCAGACATGTGCAGGCTGAGTCTGGCAGGAAAGAAGGGAGCTAATCTAGGCATCTGAGTAATCTTGAGGGGCAGACACCACAAGGTAATGTGTGCTTTTCCCACCAGTGCCCCAACATCCCAAAAGCCCAGAAGGGGGGAAAAAAGCAACTGTCAGAAACTTGATAGAGCCGTCAGCAACACATGAGGAGCTGCCTACATTGTGAAACTGAAGACATCATTCTATTTTATGTCCAGTAACAATGAAAAATGACGTTTTTCTATCAGAAAAATTAAAACAGACTCTTGGCGCCCCCATGTGGAGAGATCTGGTGCTGCTGCCACCACCACATTACCCAAGGCCATAGCCACTGCATTCATGTCCCACCTGGGTCCCCACGCTTTTTCATGGCCTCTGTGTAAGGAATGAAGTAGGCAAAGGTGAAGAGGTCGCTGCTCGGAAAACAGCTTACACTCCAGGAAAAGAGGAGAAAACCAGAAAGCTGAGAGGGGTCAGAGTAGGAGAGAAGAGCCCCAAACCTGAGTTCTGGTTCTGTGCGACCCTGGGCAAGTTGCTCCTCTCTGGGCCTCAGTTTCCCCATCGGTAAACTAGTGGTTGGGCTGGTGGTCTCCAAGGCCCTCCCAGGTTCTGAACCGAGCAGTTCACCAGAGAGAGGAAGCCCAGGGCCCCAGGCAGGGCCAGTGACCTATGCCCTTAACTACTGCACATCCCTTAGTTACCCCTCACACCTGGGCTGGTCCAGCATCCATCCGCTCCACACCGTGCACTGCCCGGAGCTCTGTGCCAGGCCCTCAGGACAAAGCTGGGTCAGTCTCAGAACCTGTCCATGCGGTTGTCACAAGGGAGACAGAGAAGGTCATCAGGCCCAGACACTTGAGCATGCTGTGAAGGGCACCCGAAAGGAAAGCAGAGGTGGAGGGAGGCTTCCCAAGTAGGAGAGCCAAAGTGCGTTGTGAAAGAGGTGGAATTGGGGCCCCTGAACGATGAGAACTCCTCATTGTGAAATTGAGACGGTGGTGGGCAAGAGGTGAGCACCCAGCAGATGGAACAGCTTGGGCAAAGACCTGGAGGTGAGCAGGTGGGCAGATAGTCTAGTATGGCTGAAGCCACGGTGTGTGCAGGAGTGAGGTGTTGGGGTAGAGCAGTGGTTCCGTGCCAGTGACCTTGGATGCCAGGCCAGGGGACTTAACTGGGATAGTGCGGGCCAGGTAGGGGGGTGTGGGGGGGGAAGGGGCCTGGAGCTGTGCTGTTAGGAGACAGCTCCAGACCTCGTTACCTGGGAAAGGTCAGTGTCACGTTAGGTATTTCCTAGGAATATCACAAGGCCCTTCAAGACAGGCAGTGCCCTGCCGCGGAAGCGCTCCTAGCCCCACCGCCATGCTGGAGGCGGGACGGGAATTCTCGCTCCCAGTGAGGCTACGGAGGCTCAAGGGAGGGCAAGCGTGGGCAAGCGTGTTGCCCAAGACCCCCCTGCATGGCCCCGGATTGGAAGCCCCCGTGCAGTCCCTGACGGCACATCCACCGTCGGGCCCCGCAGAGCGCATGCGGCCGGTGGGCGAGGGTCAGGGCCCCTGCAGCGGGGCCGGAGGGGCCGGGGCGCCGGGGCGCCGGGCCGACCCGGCTCTCTGTCCCGCGCAGTGTGCGCCCCGCACGAGTTCCAGTGCAGCAACCGCTCCTGCCTGGCCGCCGTGTTCGTGTGTGACGGCGACGATGACTGCGGCGACGGCAGCGACGAGCGCGGCTGCGCCGACCCGGCCTGCGGGCCCCGCGAGTTCCGCTGCGGGGGCGGTGGTGGCGGCGGCGGCGCCTGCATCCCCGAGCGCTGGGTCTGCGACCGTCAGTTCGACTGCGAGGACCGCTCGGACGAGGCGGCCGAGCTGTGCGGCCGTGCGGGCCCCGGGGCCACCGCCGCGCCCGCCTCCTGCGCCGCGGCCGCCCAGTTCGCCTGCCGCAGCGGCGAGTGCGTGCACCTGGGCTGGCGCTGCGACGGCGACCGCGACTGCAAGGACAAGTCGGACGAGGCCGACTGCCGTAAGCCCCCGCCCCCCGTACTGCGCGGCCCCTGCGCGGCCCCGCCGCCCCCTTCCGGCCGGCCAGATGTGCGGGCTTCCGGGGCGTCTGCCCCGCCCGCCCGGGTTACCTGGGTTACGGTGGGGCGTGGGCTTGGGGAAGGTGGAGTCTTGTTTGAGGTCCCCAAGGCTCTAAAGCTGCGCGGCTCCGGTCTAACCCCACAGGTCAAGGGTCTTCTCTGGTCTTGCCCTCCTTGTCATGCCTCCCACCCCTGCCCTTCCCTGCCCGCTGGCTCCAATGCCCGAGACCTTGAAACACTCAGGAGCTCCCCCAACCCTCCTTACCTGCTGGGCTTGCTTGTCCTTCAAGGCCTCAATCCTCCCAGCTGGGCTGGGTCTCTCCCCCTGGGCTACCCTGAACCACCCTATCCTACAGCGTGGCCGACTCTGTGATGTCCTCTGTGCATTCCTCAGCCCCCCCCCGGCACCCTTGAGCTCCTAGAGGATGGAGAGCCTCTCAATAGCCTCTGGGTTCCCCACACCCCACATAGTGCCCCGCATGCAGTGGGCACTCAGGAAGGGTTTGCTGAAGGGATGAAGTCATTAACCAATGAACACCAACACTCAAAAAAAGGCCACATGTTGGCTGTAGATGGGTGGCCCTGGGGAGAGGCAGTGGATGGGAAAACAGGAGACCTGAGTTTTAGACTGGCTCTGCCAGCCAGAGTGCTGTGTGATCCTGGGTGAGGCCTTCCCCCTCTCTGAGCTTCAGTCTCCCCATCTGTATACTGGAAGTGCCTTGGCCAGGTGTCCTGTCAGGACTCCCAAGCTCAGCCACCGGTTCTGTTCTTGCCAGGGGTGGATGGGGGCTGGGGCTGGGGGAGGAGAGCTTTTCCAACACCATGTTGGCCCTGACGCTCCTTCCTTGCCCTCTCCTGGCAGCACTGGGGACCTGCCGTGGGGATGAGTTCCAGTGTGGGGATGGGACTTGTGTCCCTACAATCAAGCGCTGCGACCAGGAACAGGACTGTCTGGACGGGAGTGACGAAGCTGGCTGCTTGCAGGGTGCGTGGAGTTGGGGGCAAAGGGGAACATCCTCCTCGAAGAAGAGGCCTGAGCATTCCCAGGCTCCAGAGAGAGCAGAGTTTGGAGAGATCTCCCCTCGGTCCCTGAGCTGTGTCTTCCCTTGGAGCATCCCTTGCCCCCTAAATTACCCAGATTTACTCCCTGGAGGCCTACTGGCCCCAGAACCAGATTTTAAAGGACTTGGCAAAAAGCTGAAAGAGGCCTAGGGGGATGTGAAAAGACACTGCAGGAAGTCCAGCCCCCACCATTTGTCCACACCTGAGCCTTCAAGTGGCTTCCTTCCCAGAGTGAGAAGAAGCTCAGTCCCCTGCTGGGAGCCTCCTTAATTCTCAGATGACTCTCTGGGACCCTGACCCTGGGTCATCTGGGGAAATGGATAAAGGGTTGGGCAGTGAGGCAGCCTCCCTCATGGAGGGTCTCTAGGGCACAGGTCTCCTTCAGATGGTCAGTCTAGCCCCCAGGATCTCCACAGGGCTCCCATTTTTCCCTCTCAGGGCCCCAGTACTGCCAGATCAGGTGCAGACACCGCCACCTTCTGGCCCTGCCCAGCTAGATGATGCTTGGGCGTCCTGATTATCCCTGGGGTCCTGTACTTCTATGAACAGAGCTCCCACCAGCCCTGTATTCAACTGTCTGTCCTGGGCCCTGTAGAGACCAGGAGGACTGGGGCTGGAGCTCTGCTCACCTCCCAGGGACCTGGCCCAGCCCAGCCCAGCCCTCCCTGCCCAAGGTCTCACAGGTCCTGTCCACTCTCTTGTCCGGCCCGACAGAGTCAACATGTGAGGGTCCCCGCAGATTTCAGTGTAAGAGTGGCGAGTGCGTGGACGGCGGGAAAGTGTGTGATGCTCAAAGGGACTGCCGGGACTGGTCGGATGAGCCTCTGAAAGAGTGTGGTACAGTACCTGTCTACTTCTGGATGCTGGACTAACCCCCCACCCCCACCCCCTCCTGGCATCCCGGTGGAGGCCCGTGCCTGCCATACTGCACACGTTCTGTTCTCACCCTCTCTCTGGACTCGTGGGCTGTCCTGTGGCCTCAGACGGAGCTCTTTGCCTTTGGGGCCTCGTTCTGCATCTCTACAAATCGAACTGCCTATTCTTTCCAATCCGGATGCTCAATTATGCTTCCTCTCACAAACTCGGACTCTCCTCCTCACTCCTTCTGCGTTCAGACCTCTGAGTATGTGCTCACTCTGAAACTTTCTTCCTCAGTAATTCTGCCCTCCTGACTTAGCCAGGGCCCTGGCCTCTGAGGCCTCCCAGCCAGCCCCCTGCAGAGGGAGAGGCAGGGGACAGCAGGCAGGTGGCCAACTGAAGTGGATCCCAGGGCCACCTGGCTCAGGCCAGGCCTGGGGTGAGGATAAGGCAGACCAATCAGCAGAAGGTAGCACCAACCTGACCCCGAGGAGGAGCTCAGACAATCTGGGAGACAAGACTTAACAGGCTGGGCGTGAGTGAGGGGCAGAATGAGGCAACGGTCCTAATAACTACAGCTGTCAGGGTGTGTTCCAAGCTAAAAAGAAGGTCTGGGCTGTAGGTGAAGTGAACATCCCACTGAACATGCTGGAAACCCAGTGTGGGCTCCAGGAGGGTTTATTGCCAAGGTCAGGGGTTTGAACAGAGAGTTCCTGGGGGGACAGAGCCTAGATCGGACCCTCCCTTCCTGGCAGACTCATTTCTACCCAGCACCTCCCATCCTGGGCACTCAGGGGGGTTTCATTCTCTAGAACTCCCCAGGAGTGGCATATTTCCACCCCTTTTTGAGATTTAAAACTTGATTTTGAATGGAAGAGTGGTTGGGTGAAGGTCACTCAGGCTCCACCTAAGCTTGCAGGACAGATTCTCCTCTTGGGCCCTCCTGCCCCCACCCCTCCGCCAAGGGCCCTGCCGGGTAGAGTTCCAGAAGAAGAAGCCTAGGGAAAAGAGGATAGAGAAGTGGGAGCAATGGAGCCTAACCCCCTACCCCGCCCAGATTGGGAGTTCACCAGGGACACTAACCTACTAAATCTCTTCTTTCTGGTCTTTTGCATGATATACCTGAGAGAAGTGTGTACGCATGTATTTGTGTCTCTGTGCTGGTGAGAGGCCAGTATCTGTGTCCGTGGCTCCTCCTCTGAGTGAGGCAAGGGAACCGCATCTCGTGTCTCTGCGTGTCCCCGCATCTGTGTGAATGTGTCTGTGGAGTCCACAGGCCTGTCGGTGCCTTTGCACATGAGCTGGTGCGTGTGAGCATGCAGGTAGGCGCACGTGCTGGGGAAGGTGACACTGCCCCTTCCTTCCCTGCTGGGCCTCAGATGCCACTCAGGCCTCTGGACCACCACCCCTCCTCCCCTGCAGGCCCCCAGCAGAATCAATCGCCTCCAGGCTAGATAGAATTGGGAAGGCCCAGACATGCCCTTCAGCCTCCGCCTCGGCTCTGGCTTTTCCAGAGCAGGGGCCACAGAGTCCAGACCCACGACCCATTCTCTTGCCCCCAGGCACCTCGGCCCTGGAGGACTCTGTGCTGTCCTCTTTCATAGAAGCCTGAGCCACTTTGAGCTTTCCCTTTTCTGGGCCATCCGACACATGCCAGTCTGGCAAGTGCTCCATAAATACAGCTGTTGAGTTGCTACTACCTGGAGCTTCCTAGAGAGGGAAAGGGGGGCAGCAAGTGGGGGCATGGATGAGGCAGTGGGTGAGTGGTGAGCAGATGGATGGACAGCACTGGGGGGATAATACGGTATGGGAGAGGGCAGGGAAGGTTTGGAGTGACAGAAGATTCCCGGGGGTGGATCCCCACACAGACCACCCCAAAGCTGCCATGGTACTGCCCACCCCACTGGGCTGGGCCTTCCCAGGGCTGGGCCTGGCTGAGTCACCCTGAGATCCTCCAGTCATGGGGTTGCTGTCATCTTGTTCTTTCAGTTCCACCAACGTCCCCGGGAAACAGGAGGAGGCCCAGGGGTAAAGGGGTCCCTATTCCCTAAGCATGGCTCAGGCTGGAGCGGGGGCACCCACAGCTGTGCATGGCCTGGGGTGGGCAGCTCAGACCAGCCATGTGCATGGCCATGGCGGGCTCAGCTCTGCTTGGCTTGGCTGGAGCGGCAGTGCACGAGCCTGGTGGGTAGAAGGGTGGCATGGCACCTTCTCTTGGCTTGCAGAATTCACCTTCTGGGATTGCAAAGCTCAGAAGATGCTATGAGAACATGGTGAGCCTTGGTCCTGGCCTCCTTGACGTCCCCTAGGATTCTGCCAGAGGGGATGAGGGGGTGGAGGACGAGGAGACCGGGTAACCTCCTGGCATCCCTTCACCCTTTGTAGCAGTTGGTATTCCTGGGACCAGGCCTGTGGCTAAGTGTAGGAAGAGGGACGGGTGCTGAGAGGAGAGCAGGTGGAAATAATCTATTGTATTTCATGGTGGGAGAGAACTGACCAAGCAGCAGCTCTATGTAGAAAAAGCCCGGGGTCTTAGATAACCACAAGCTCAGTAGGGGCAGCCTTTGTTGTTCAGACTCCCTCTGGACGGCAGACTACAGGGCCCTGTCCAGGGAGGGACATGGACAGAGGGAATATGTCCAGAGGAAGGCTCTTGAATGGCAGGGCACCAGAAATTAGCACTTAAAATTTTTTTTAATCTTTATTGAGAGAGAGACACACACACAAAGTGAGAGTGGGGAGGAGCAGAGAGAGAGGGAGACAAAGAATCCAAAGCAGGCTCCAGGCTCTGAGCTGTCAGCACAGAGCCCAACATGGGGCTTGAACTCACAAACCGTGAGTTCATGACCTGAGCTTAAGTCAGACACTTAACCGACTGAGCCACCCAGGCACCCCCACAAATTAGCACTTTAAAGGAGATTCTGAGGGAGCCGTCAGACTCTGGCCAATCCCACCCAGTAAAGCTGGAGTGGAAGCAGAAGCTTCAGGGAGGCCAGTCCAGTGAGGAGGAGCTTTATAATGGCCTGTTCCAGGTGGAACCAGCTACCTAGGAGGAAAGTGGGCTCCATGAGGCTGGAGATATTTAAGCAAGGGCATTTCAGAAGGGGTTCTTGGGGTATCTTGAGAGTTGGATGTGGTCCATGTACGATGAGGTCACAAGGAAGAAGGATTTGTAAGAAACGTGTTTGTGAAAGGAAAGAACTCAGGCAGCCAAGCTGCCTCTGGTAGACAGAGCTCTGGTCTGGGAGGCAAAGGACCTGCGTTCTGCTTCCACTTTGTCCCTGTATTTGTGTCTGGCCTTGACCAAGGACTTGCCCCCTCTCTGAGCCTCCTCTTCCCTAGTCACCCGGTTCATGAGACTGAGGCTCAGTGAGGTTGGAGAGCATCCTGGTTCTGTGGGAGTCCCGCTGCCCTGAGTCTCTGCTTCAGCTCTAGGCCCTACCCCTCTCCTGCCCCCACCCTAGCCTGGGCTCCTGGACCCTCAGGAGCCTGTGTCCCTTCCCCAGGGCTGAACGAGTGTCTGCACAACAATGGCGGCTGCTCCCACATCTGCACTGACCTCAAGATTGGCTTTGAGTGCACGTGCCCAGCAGGCTACCAGCTCCTGGACCAGAAGACCTGTGGCGGTGAGACCCTCCTGTCAC